CAGGTTCAGCCCTTTCCGCTAAGCTATTCCTAATTACTTAATTACTAAAATATGTCGAGATTTACTGAACTCCAACTTCAAATATTGATGATTTTAGTATTCCCCAATCTAAAAATCTTCGAAGTTTTTCTGCAAAGCATTTTTATCCACGTTTCATGCAATTCGGTCACTTTTGGCGGAAAAAAATATTTTCAAATTTTCAAACTTTTTTCAAAGTCTCGAAAAAAATTTGTAAGTGAAAAATTTTTGAAGTTTTTCTAAAAACTACATTTCTCCGTGTTTCAAACGATTTCGATCATTTTGAGCCAATAAAAAATTTTCACTTTTTTTGGTGATTAACTAATTGGTAATTATCCAATTAGCTGATTGTCCAATGTAAAAATTTTTCACACAAAAGTTTTACTCCTTGATAAGATAAACATTCTAGGTTAATTTGCAGCCTTTTACGACGTTCACAACTAAAGATATTTGGCAAACCAGACAGGTGGTACAAAGGTGGTAAAAAGTGGTAAAAGTGGTGTTTCTGTTGAGATACAAAATTGGCAACAAGTCTAATTATGTTCGTAGGGGTCCTAACTACCATATTCCGTTGAGAAATCCTTGTGAACATTCAAATCCAACGGAATGCCACTTTTCCCCTTACTATATACTCAGTGCTGTGTGTTAACTAACTGTCTGATAATTACCTCAATAGTGAACATATCACGTATTACTCGGGATATAACTGTTAATTAACATATTATATTCAGGGGCCGGGGGGGGGGGGGCTAAGGTTAACTCAATTTTAACAACACCCAACGAAACATCTAGATCTGCAACTCAAGCTAACCAAAATCGCATCCACATAAATTATGTGAATATAGTCTGGAGTCAGGCCCACTTTTCATCAGAAATTATATATATATTATATATATATATAATACATATGTTATTTAGATTTTATAACTGTATCTAGATTTTATAACTGTATTCTCATCAAACTGAGCGATTGGACTACTGTTTATGACCCTTTGGCCTTTATTCTACAGAATAACGCGAACGTTTATAATATCTTCAAAGCAGCTTAATAACCCCTTTGCCATGCTGGATAAGTAATACTAGTAGACGTCCTAATCGTTATTCCTCTCTCCTAGTAAGTCCTCTTATAACTTGTCCAAGATAAAGTTAAGCTGCTAGAAGATTATAAACGCTCACCATGTAGTTACAAACTTAGCTCTGGGTAACTGTATCAGTGTTAAATAGGCTTAACGTTACTGGCAACTGGTATTACGGTAACTGGTAATACTGGTAATACTGGCCTGGTAACTGGTAATACTGATAACTGGTAATGCTGGTTACTGGTAATACTGGTTACTGGTAATACTGGTAACTGGTAAGCAGTCTGGAGTACTACACGTAGCTCCCTTGTAAGCCGTAACTGTGGTAAAAACACAACCTACCATGTACCAACTAGGGCGTTTCAACCTACTATGTATAAGAGCACTAGTTTTGTCGGACGTGTTCTTTCAACCTACTATGTATAAGAGTACTAGTTGTGTAGGACATGTTCTAATAGTGTGTTACTTGTCACTCGAGCATAAACCGGTCTCTAACGTTGAGTGTTAAACCTTCGAACGCTATTTTTTCCTTTTCACCCTTTTGAAAAAAGGCAATAGTGAAAGGTTACGAATGGAGGTTTTTGCAGAAAAACGTGGATTTTGGAGATAGCAGTAGGCGGGTCTGAATATGATGTCATTCCGTCCGTTACCATGCAACGAAAAAGTTGCGCGCGCGCGAGGATTGCTTGCGGAGATGTGATGTATAGATAGCCTGTGATCTATGAATGCGCGGCGCGATTGTGTTTTAATGTATATGATGCATGTAATGTATAATATTACTATTAGGTAATACGCCCAATTTGTACGTGGCACGCATAGTGTATTGATGTGTACACGAGTATAGTTTACCTTTGCTGATAATTTCTTGAATTACAGATACAAGTTAAGTTCTACGGCAATTGAACTGAATTTCAAGTGTTTCCCGTATTTGATGCATAATTTATCAATATTATTATCATGAAGATTGAAGTGAGCTGATTGGAGCTTATACTTAAATTTATAGTAAATGTGAAATGGAAATCTAGCGTCCGCCAAAACAAAACAACGGGCGCAATTCTTGTTACGTATATAATTCAGTGTGAATATTGGCAGAGCTGTGTATTTGTATATTAATAGTATAGTTGTAGGTAAGTAGTTTAATTGTAGGTATTATATATAGTTATAATGAATGGATGCTAGAGCCTAGGAGATGATTAAGGGGACATGCATCAGAACTTGTTTTGCCGGGACCCGCGATTTGACTTCATATTATGAAAGTATAGATAAAAACAATAAGTTTTTTTTTTTTTTTTTAAATATGCAACGTCTAAAACCAATGGGGCCCTCCCCGGAGTCATTCCTCTCGCATTTGCGAGAGTCGTCCCAAAGGTGTAAAAGGAGGTCAGGATTTGTTCCCACCAAGCTCTAACAACGCTATTTGTTGACCATCGGCCTTCACTGAAGGTAAGTTTTTTTGAGAGTGGAGGCCGACCGTCAGCATGGGATGCAGGGCCAAGTGGGAAATAACGTCAAGGCCCCTTTCTACATGGGCCATGTTGGTTTTGGCAGACAGATACTGTGGTAATAAGATAAGAAGCACTGAATGAGTGAAATGAAGTGAGTGAAAAGGGTGTAAGAGAGGAGGAGCTTGTAAGGAATTTAGGAAAGTAAGAAAGCAGGGCATGTGCTACAAAAAACAGCTAGTAGTACTGCAAGAACAATAAGATTTGATACATTGAAAAAAATTTTTGAGAGTACGCACTTTCTAAAAAAATATATTTTCTTTTTGGAAAGTTTTTTCAATTTTGAGAATTCTGTCACTTAAATACCGATATTTCGGTAATTTTATAATTTTATAATTAAACAATAGATGACAAAGTTACAGACCAAGCTGATTACGATTCTGTAAAAATGATTTCAAAAAAACTGATACTTTTTGAGTTAAATAGGCATTTTAAGCCTTAAATCTGCCATTTTGGCCCTTTTTTACGAGGAATTTTACTAAGTCCTTTGAGGCCAGATTTCATACCTTAAAACTCAAATTTGAAAGAAATCCTGTTCCAAAAAGTTGGATATGATCATCAGCTACACTAACAAGAATTTTTGAAGCGATATCTTATGACCTGGGTGATAGGTAAAGTGTACAACTTTAATAGTAGGCAAAAATTTCAATTTTTCTTCTCTCGACCTTGTTTGGTCTGTAACTTCGTCATTTATTATTCAATTGTATAATCCTTCGGAGGGCTTCTTGTACGGATTGTAAGTAATGTTCAGTAAAAAGGCAGCCAAAAAACTTTTAAAATTACTAAATTATCGGTATTTCAGTGACAGACTTCTCAAAATTGAAAAAATTTCCAAAAAGACAATTTTTTTTTCGATGCATCAAATCTTATTGTTTTTATCTATACTTTCATAATATGAAGTCAAATCCCGAATCTCGGCAAAAAAGGATTTTGTGTATGTTCCCTTAAATAAATGGTTTCCGGTAAATAAAAACCACTCTTCATGAGTTTAATTGTAGGTATAGTTATAATACTAAAATACTAGTTATATATACTACATTATTATATAATACTATTTAATTATAATTACATAAATACATACTATATAATATAGGTGGTGAAATAGATAATGAACAATGCATACAATTAATAACCATTAAATAATAAGTATGAGGGAATAAGGGCCTTTAAATAGTTTATAATGTTTAATTGATATTGACGAATATTCATCGGAAGACCTTATATATTCTCTGTATTTGGAGTTTAAAGTGGCTATTAAAATAAATGGCTATTATCTATTAAATATTATCAATTATAAATGCAGAGTAATCTAAAAGTTGGATAACCTTGAATGTTCATACTGTGTTCTAACTGTAAGTTAAGCTTATTCGCGTTTACTGAATCCAGCAGATGACCTGGTACGTGACCTGATCACGTGGTACGTGACGTGGTCACGTGGCATGTGACGTGATCACGTGGCATGTGATCAGATATTGCGGATGTTGAGTGTATCTAAATACTGATATAGACAGTAGACACGACTCTAGTTACTATATTTGTACCAACCAGCGCTACCAATTAGTCCTCCGCTAATATGCGGCTCAATATAGCCTGCTGACAAATCACATTAGACCTGTGCTATTAGGATATATATATAGATCGCGTTTGCGTACTGTAGAAAAGCAGTGTGTAATATATGGATACTACTACTACTACTACTACTACTACAACTACAATACTATGTACTATATAATATACTATAGCATTGTTCTGCTTCTAGAACAGAGGTATTATTGATGTTTGTAAATTCCTTAGCAACACAGCAATTGTGAATAGAATTCCACAGATTTTTCATGAGAATATATCCTCATTGAGTCATTGTGGAGGTAGGGTAAATGGCGATATTCCAAAAATATTTATATGTTATATTTTATGATAGTATATTTAATTAAAGATCTATTGTATGTATGTATGGACGAAATTACAATTCCGTAGTACAGCTTAGTTGCCACATAATTGGGCTGAACCGCTACCTTTGTTCATGGACTGTAATTGGACGTCGAAATTTCCTGATTGTAAGAAATATTTCCTGAATTCACTTTACTTAATCCATATGAGTAGAACCGGATATGTAGGCCAATTCTGCTCTCAGTCTATTCGTCCGGCCAATTCGTGTAAATACCGACTAACAATTATGTGCTGTAGATTTGTGGCGAACTATGTGCTGTTAGTAATCACATAGCACGTTCGTCGTTCAACCCATATCAAATGCCATTAGATCACTACCAATAAAAATACACTTGACCTAATTCGCAGTTTAAAGCAGAATTATTATATACAGTAAGTTATGTACAAATAATACTGCCGATATTAAGTAATCCTTGTGACTTTTATATGATTGCTAATGCGTGTCGTTTTTCAGCGCGGGTCGCCAAGCACGCCATGTCAGATGCAGAAAGCTAATTCTTGCTCGACCATATTTATTGACGACAACACTGTTAGTCAACCGAACCTCAGAGCTACGTTGAAGTGGTAAGTAATGTCACTATCTTTGGTATGAAATATTAAGTATTGGGTTTGGTTTCATTTATCATAGAATTCTGTTCAGATCTATTTCTTGGATTTAGCTCATAAGGTTATAATGTTTTGTTTATTCTATCAAATCTATCAAAAAAAGGTATTTTTAAGAATCATTTTTGTCGGTAAGATCCTGTTTTATAATAATAATAAATCTATCAACTCCTTTTAAATTCAACTCTGTAGTCCCAATTTCAGAACTTGCATCAATTTCAGTGTATCATTGGCGATATACTATCACATTAAAAACCGGGACAAGGAATCGGAGTTTGTGGATATTTTGGACGAAAAGCGACATCCGATAACGGTAAGTAGAATCTATTGATAAACTTTATCCGGCATTCTCGCTACAAAACCAAAAAAAAAGTGTTTCAGCGGATGTATTCTGTTCCTACTTAGTAATTATTATTATTTTTATCATTAATTAGCGGAATTTTACATTGAGAGTTCGTACATCTCAAGCACATATACACGAGAAACTTGCGTGTTGTGTAAAGAGTCGTGATATCAAGCTCATGTAAAGAGCAGGGTAGACATTTGACGTTAATAATATGTGTATGTGTGTGCCCATGGTTGAACTCTTACAGACATTTTATTTTTGGAGGAGCGAGAAGTTTTGAGATTTAGAAGTAATATTAAGAGTGAAAACTTAAATGGTTCCGATTGATTGATCAATTCAGACAATTACTGTAATCAAATCTATGTCTGTGGAAGTGAAAAGCAACAATTAGGAAAAAAAGTCAGTGCGCTCGACGCGCGCACTGTATACTGCTAACGGTATATAGCTTTCCAAAATTTTGGTAGAAATTTATTTAAAGTCGACTGCCAAAGCATTTAGTGCGTTAAGATAAACGCACGTATGTACGTTTTAAGATGGATCAAACTTTCAGGTTATATTATGCTTTTTTCGTCTAGTTTGTTCTAAAATTAAGTCTTTCAGAAGCAACCGGTTCCTTCGGACTACGCTAAGAACGACCCTCCAAACAACTATATTTACAGATATATCAAGAATTTATTTGTGTCTGCTCAGGTTCGTGCTCTTTAGTATTCTTTGCAAGTTGAAGCTGCTTCAGTTAAAGTTGCTTGCGTGATTGGGAGACATTATAAATTATCTTGTTATCTTTTAATTGCTTTCACTAAATTATCTCCACTTTCAGTTAACTGCGGAATGTGCTATTATTTCTCTGGTACGTTCTAGACTTGTTAATGTTCGATCACAGAACTGTTGAATCTAATCATCATAATCAGTTTGACGTTTGATTCTTAACATACATAAAAAGTATACATCCGTAAAATCGATCTCTCTCTCTCTCTCTCTCTTTTGTATAGTAATGTAACTGCAACTAGTAGTATAATTGAAACTTCTGCAACCTATTCAGATATACATAGAAAGATTATTGGTGTGTGCGGACATATGCTTGCAGCCGACTAATTGGAAACGAATTGTATTAGGGGCAATTCTCCTCGCCAGCAAGGTATTTTAACACTTAGATTTACTGTTTAACACCAGTTTTATTCTCAGAACATTGAACTTGTTCTTATTCTGCTATACGGTCACAACTAAAAGATTTGTCGCTCGTACTATGTACTTATGTAAACCAATGTTTACCAACTGAATTTACAGGTTTGGGATGACCAAGCCGTGTGGAACGTGGATTATTGTCAGATATTAAAAGATATGGTGGTGGAGGACGTGTAAGTTTTACTTTTCATCATGTGATTTTAAAACAAAAACAAAAGTTAAATTTATCATCTGATATTGTTAAACTTGTGATGTGTTTACAGCATAATAACATGAATTATTTTTCTCTCCTCTACCTATTCACTTATTAGTTTGATAATGTAGTGACGTTACAGAAATGAGCTAGAGCGAGTGTTTCTGGAACTGATACAATTCAACATAAACGTTCAGCAGAGTGCTTACGCCAAGTACTACTTCGACTTGCGATCTATAGCCGAACAACACGGCCTCACACTTCCTATTGACACGTTAGACAAGAAACGTGCTAAAAAATTAGAGGTAAGCCCCGTTTCAGTGGTTATTCAAAGTAGGTTTGCATTGTGCTGAGTTTGTATTTAGATTCTTCATGAAGGTTGTCCATTTTTTTGTTCAATAAAAGCGTACGTGATGAGGCCGAAATGTAATACCACTAAAGGTACAACGATTGCATAACACATTCCCACGATTGCATAGCACATTCCCACCTTTATACTACCAAAATGATTCTTGAGTAAAACGAATGACTAACACGCTCTCTCTCTCTCTCAGGCTCGCTCACAAAATGAGGAGTACGATAAGTTGGCGGATATGGCGGAGTCTGGTCCCGTAAAATGTATAAGTCTGGAGAATCTTAGCAAACGGCGGCCTTCCAACACCGTCATATCATAGCATTAATTTTATTTTGTATATTTTCGAGTGCACGCATTGTATTCATATATATTGAACAACGATACTATTAATTAAATGATGTACTTTTGACGAATTTTATACTTATCACTAATGATTATTTAATTTCACGATGCTTTTTAAAAAAATTTAAAAGTATATTAACTTACGTGATAGGAATAAAGATGTCGCCGTGAAACGCCGCGCCCTGACATTAGTGGTCAGATTGTTAGTGTGTGAGATACCTTTGTGCTTGCCTACTGTCAATAATACTGCAAAACATCTCATCCTAAACCTCATAGACCTTGTTTTCTGGCATTTATTTAATTTAATTATCAAATTGAGTCCCTCAAAACCTGCAAAAAGTTTCATTTTAGCATAATATGCTAAAATGAAACTTTTTGGTTCATTAAAGTACGATGTTTTGCAGCATTAAAGGATTAATCGACTATTATTATCTTAAGGTATGTTCTCTCACATAGTGGCAAATTCCTGCGTCAAGATAGCATTAAAATGTGGTTGTTAAACCTTCGTTGCTCTGCTAAACCTTCGTAGCTATGCATCTATCATTTATTTAGAAGCCTTTGTGGGAACTATTTCAAAACCCTACGGACAATTAATAATACTGAACGGACTATATATTAATCTATTATCGATGATTTATCAGGGAATTGGGAAATTACTCTTAATATTTGTTGTATTGGAAGGTGATCGAGCTTATGATATTTGTGACGAGAGAGTTGAGACAAACAACCTCGTGGTACAAAAGAGAGGCGGAATCTTATGAAAAAATGTTTGTGTTTATAACTGTATAACATAGCTATTAAAATGATGAAATTGAAGTAAAACATTTGCAATGACGAAACTTTCTCAAATGCTCCGAGGTTAAACTTTTGAACTAAAAAGAGTAGAGAAGTTTCTCAAACCATTTGGTGAAAAGATAAGAGTGTTTTACGCAGTGTTGCGTCCATCCCCGAACCTACTTACCCTGGAACTAAATATTTCCGGGCAAGCAAATTCTGTCATAAATTCTTATTTTACAGACAGTATCATGTAGATTTTATAAACCGAACCAGCAAGAGTTCGGAAAATTTGACCTAAACAAGATCGGGATAGAAGTTTCACTGTGCACAGTGTTCGGTTCTGCTGTTGATTGTGTATCTTTAAGTTTAAGGCAGCGTGCCTGTCTGCTCACCTTTTACACTGCTCTGCTATTTATTTATATGACGTTTTCTCAGAAACCACTTTAGCTTTAATTTAAAATTGACCGGATTTAATATGGCTTTTGTATCATGTTTGATGGAATTTGAGACTATTCATTTTCATCTATAATGAGATATTTTCCTTCGTTCAAAAGTTGTCAGTTTATAATATGGTGATAATTAAAAAGTATCGTATGTTTGCATGTTCTCCATTCTGTACAGGCACCTTCTAAGCCATCCCTCAATCCATTCTTCTCCACATTCATGATTCAATCGTGCTAATATTTAACTTTTCCCCTCGCCAGCATTTGAAACCAACTGAAGTCTACATACGCGTTTTAACACATAGGTTAATACACATTTTTTGAAGCTTGTAGAATTTGGGACACCCTCAGTGGCAATGTGAATAACTTGAAGATAATTTCATGGTTGTTTGGTGTAATAATAATAGCTTATAATTGTTGACATCAAGACGGGGTTTCACAGCAAGCCCTGATCAATATGCATGTATAGGAGAAGATCCACAGACGAATGCAGAAGTAAGATATGCTTTTAAAACCTCTCACCTCTACTTTGCCTTTACCCTGTTGAATATCCATATGGTTATTGTCCTGTTATAGGTCTAATTTTGAATCAATATTATATCAATAATTCATGTTGCCGTCACCACTAATGGCAATGGTCTTCGGAGACGGCTGTTTCACTCAAATCTTACTGATTTAAGAGAATCTTCAGTGATCAGTGTTGATGTTGGCTCTTGGAAATTGAGCGAGATCTTCCACATGCTTTTACTTTCTAAAAGACATTGATCTTTGCCAAATTTAATGTCAGTGTTTATGTGCAATTTCATTGGAACCCAAAATGGACTATTCTTTCGACCTAATCGCTATCAATATTACAATTTTGGTACATTGGGCTACGTGATTACTTCGTCTCAGGAATCGTTCACATATTTCACCAGCCAGTCTCAGGAGCTGAGAAGGTGTGTTGTTTGAAAAATTACGGTCTAAAACGGCTAATATCTGACTAATTTTAAATGCGAATGGTCCTTTATTATTTATTATAGGCCGTTAGTGTATCTAATTCCCATTCTATTATTTTATTTTCAACGGCTCGCTTTACAGTTAACACTAACAACTATTTTGGGATTGTTAGAAATTAACGTTCGTTTATTATTTGTACTCGTCATTTTCTAGTGTTGGGTAATTACCATCGTAAAGGATTACAGATTAAGAGTTTTACTGTTAACTGAATTAATGAAATAATTAGTGACGTTTGCACTTTGCAGAGGACTTTTAGTTCGCCCTATAACTACCACTACCAGAGCCTATTTTCCTGTTTCTTCAAGTTAGTAAAGTTCACACATCTCCAACAGTGCGTTATTTTACTGGTTTAACTTAGCCGTACTAGTTGTGGCTGGTAATTGGTATTCATGAATCATAGTAACGTAACCATAGTAAAAATATCATGCTATTTCCTACTAGTTAAGTTGAGGTATGTGACTAGGGATGCAAGTCTTTTCTGTATCCCACGAATTATTCAATATTCATGCTCTCCTAGGTGCAAAACAACTGCCCAACAAAGCCGTGTCCCTATGCCAGTCGTCAATATTTATGTGATAAGATCACGCATATACCCAAATAGTTCTCTAAGTTTCAAACGCTTTGTCAAATCCCTCATGGCTGCCACTGATGCTAATACTAAGTTACTAACCACTGCTTCGTATCGCGTTGTAAGTTTGTCTGCGTCCTGTATCACATCCAAGTGAAGGCCGAGAGGTTGTAGTCTGTTCTTGATTTTGAATCGTTTAAACAGTCGTCTGCTGTAGATTATGTTAAATTCCAGTGTTCAACTTTCATTGACTTTCACTGCATTGTCAATTGTAGACGAGTCAGGGGTATAATATTATTTTGAGACGGCCGGCTCATTTTAATGAACCGAGAATGATCATCACTCGGTTTATGTTTGAGACGAAAGTATCTCCATGCCTCAATTTAGCGAAAATGCGCTGTTTCTGGGGTCGGGAAACTCTTAAACCATTTCATTTAATATTGAAGCTTCCCGGGTTGTTCCTTAGTTTGTACGTGTCCGGGCTATTGATATACCCTACCATACCGGTGTAAAAATGGGACAAGAACTGATCAGAACATGAACTTGAAGCTTGACCATTTAAATATTAATGGATTGAGTTACTTTAATGGTTTGTAAACAGCCGTGGAAATGTACAACTACGTTAAGATCTGTAACAGGACATTTGAGCTCACGGTTCTCTGATGCGGATAATTTCCATTGTCTTTACAGCCTGGTTAACGTTTTACATTATTAATATTATTGAGACATATCTATCTATCGTATAAACACAATGCTACCAATATTAATATAGTTATAAGTTTAAGGGAGATAAAGCCTTTGTGGTCATAAAGCTACGTACCTACGCTATTTTAATATTATTATTAATACTAATAGGTTTAAAACTTTAAAAAGTTTCAAACGCTTTGTCAAATCCCTCATGGCTGCCACTGATGCTAATACTAAGTTACTAAGTCTAACCATTGCTATGTATTGCTTTGTAAGATTGTCTCAGTCCTGTATATATAGCATCTAAATTCTAAGTGAGGGGTTGTATAGTCTGTTCTTGATTTTGAATAATTTAAACATTCTTCTGCTGCCGATTATATAAAGTTTCATAGCTTTCCATTGACTTTCGCTGCATTGTAGACGAGTCAGGGGTATAACATTATGTTGAGACTGCTGGCTCATTCTAATGAACTAGGAATGATCACTTCATTCAATCAGTTTGAGACAAATATTTCCCCATGCCTCAATTTTAACGGAAATGCGCTATTTCGGGAAACCCCTTTCAAACAACTTCATTCGATACTAAAGCTGTCCGGGGTGTTTCTTAGTTTGTACGTGTCCGAGCTATTGATATACCAGACCATACTGTTGTAAAAATGGTACTTTAATTCTAATAATAAAATATATAACAACGTTTAGAAATGTAACAGGAAATTTGAGCTTTTGGTTCTCAGATGCTGATAATTTTCCTTGTCTTTAGCAGCCTGGTTAAAATGTTCCATTATTATTGAGACATACCCTCATAGTCATACGTATAAACACAATGCCACCAATATAGTCATGAGTTTGTGGAGGATAACGCCTTTGTGATCATCATGCTACGTAAGTTATCATACGTAACGGTGACAAGGCTGTATTGCTATTTTCTCTGTCTACAACCCACAAAATTGCATGTTATACTTACATTGGTACGCACTCAAAATTGTATTTCTTTATTATTGGTTTTATTTGTTTTTTTTTTTATATAAATGTCTATTTTGTTTCTCAGAATTGTTGTATTAGTTGTGTTTCGGTCGGTATTTTTTATTAAGGGTGGTTCTGCACATAGAATACTTCTGGATAAATACAAAATTACTGTAAATAGCACATTTTAATTATAACTTATGAATAATAATATCACCTAAAATCTCTTCAAGAAAAAATGAGACACATTCTTTTTTATCTTACTCTAACAATAACCATTTACAACCAGGTTTAACACTTTCCCTAAAGACGAACATGTATTACCATTATGGAAGTTAGTCCATAATCTTGTTCGTGGTTACTCGGCCTTCCAGTCGCAAACCTGAGACCACTTTACTAGCCATACCGTTACAACACCGACGGGGACTTGAACTAATGACCAAACTTCAGATCATATCAGTTCCTGTCTAGTAGTAGTGTTAACTGGGGACCTCAATAAGTCTAGCGACTAGAATGGTATCTGCATGTTAGCTCTATTGACGTTTTCCCCGACTGACTGTCAGCGTGTCTTTGTCATCCTCATTAATTAGAACGCACATACCAAAGTTCGGTTTTATTCGCCTTATCTTTATCATTATATATTTACCTACATTTTATCAAGATTAGACTTCTTGCACGTAGTAATAAGTCCAGTGCTCATAAAACTGCTGTGTATCATTGGGCCATTATCTGTTTAGGGTAATTCTAAGTCATTATGTGGCACCGGTCCGGTCCCTGCCGAGTTGTATGTGGTCTCCTGCTCCTTTAAGTGTACACCTATTATCATGACTATTCGTGTGAAGGTGTTGTACACGTCATGTTGAAACTGTACATGGGTGCAATGTATTTAGTTATATCTCATACAGTATCTTTGTCGCATAGTAGCGTTGTAGTAAGTATTGTGTTTCGTTTCGTTTCGTATGAGAAATTTAGCGTTTATTCTTCAAATAAGTAATAATGAAAATGAAAATTTTTATGTTTAATCGTAAAATTATTCAAGAATAAAGAAGCAGTTCCTGGAGGAGTGTCATGAAAAACCATCATGTGAACATGAACCTTACGTACGACTTGCCAACGTTAGGTGAAGCTGCTGATGTTTTTCTGGGAATCTGTCTCCTCATCTTCTCGATATTTGGTTTCATCGGAAATATCATCGCGCTGTGCCACTTCAGATCGCAGCAAACTTGCAGGAACATCGAACTTATCAACTCACTCTATATAGCCGTGTCAACAATCGATATTTGTACATGTTTCATCAACTTTCCTGTCATATACTCTCTGTTATACGGCCGGTTACCTGGCCTGTTCAGCATCTCGGTATTTTGTACATTCTGGACCATTCTATTCAACTACCTACAGAAGATCTCCATGTATTTGGTAATGTTGTTGACGGTAACACGTGCTATCAGAGTGATATATGGAAATTATCAAGTCAGCTTGTCTGGTATTATAGGATCCTTCATTGGATACAGTCTTTTGGCCCTATCCCTTGACCTGATAGTATATCTGATAGCTGATTCTGGAATGTCTTATTACTACAGTTCTGATGCCGTTTACTGCTACGAATATGTGTACGAGGGAGGGCGCTTAGAGTATGGAACATTCTATTCGAGTGTCATGGTGATTAACAACATTAAATTTGTCGTGCAGGTCGGAATTCCTCCAATAATAATATTCATATCATTTCTGATCTGCAGTTTCAAGTTGAAACAGCTATTATCTGTGACAAAACAAAGGCGTTTTTCAACGAAAATCTACACCAACGCTCTAAAAACGACAACCTTTTTCACCAGTCTTTTCATTCTCTGTAATCTTCCTTTCTTCATACTG